GTGGCCACGAGGGAAGGGCTGAGTGCCCTGGGCTGGCAGCGTGGCCGTGGCACGGCAGCAGAAGCTCGGGAGCGCCGGCGGGCGAGGCAGCGCAGCGGGACCGCGACACTGTGCGCAAGCTCGGGGACCGACAGCCACAAACTGATCCAGCACGGGAGTGCAGCTTCGGGAGGTACGGGCTGAGATATCCAGCTCTTTGCTTGCAGTTCTACATGACCAGGAAAGCCGTTTTCGGCCTTTAAATCAGCTTTATGGGGATGTAAATCCCAGCTCGCAGGCAGCTCACTGAGTTCTTACAGTGCACAGCGTTTCTGGGCTGAACATTTGCAATTACACATGAAAGTCACTTGTGACAATGAGATAGATTAAACCACAGTTTAGTTCATGTTTTAATAGAAATTTGCAGTAGAGTTGGAAGTAGTATTATTTTTAAACTTTCTAAAGCTTCATGTGGGCTTGGAGATTACGATATCCACATGTGCATTGGAGGGAAATTTGTGTTACAGCATTTTAGATTCCCATCATTTGAGCCACTATGATTCAGGGAGCCTGGCTGTGAGTGGGGCATCAGTAACTGTGTCTGTGTACCCATAGGTGCCAGACTTGTGCTCAGCTGCTATTTTGGAAGACTTCTTCCCATTTTTAAATACACCTGCAAAGATCTCCCTACCCAAAAGACAAATTTCAAACCAGGAAAACTCCACACCAAAGCACTTCCAAGCTGCCATAAAGCATCACAATAGAGATTTGCTTTTGATTTTTTGGAACATTTTGGGTAAGGATCTCAAGGGTTTGTTTTTCAGAAGCACAATTAGAAATGTGAGTGCCATTATGAAAACCTTGAAGGTGATTCCATGTGCATGTCAAGAATTGTGTTAGCAGTTCATTAAAAGATACACAGGTGGTTTAACACCTCAATAATTACAGCTGGTGCTTCTTAGGACTGAGCAAATCCCAACATTTGTGGGTTCTCCATGAAATCCAAGCTGGGCAGCCAAAAACAAGGAACTATTTGTAGGCTACAGCTTCAATTTTGTCACATTATCCTCAAATTCATTTAAACCAAAGCAGAGGGAATTATGCTTTGCTACCAGAATCATCTGACAAATAAGGGGAACTATTTAACTTCTTCCTAATATTCAACTCGTCAAAGGTTATTAAAAAAAAAAAAAAAGGTAGTTAAAAGCAGAGAAAAACAGGGCAGCAAATTTGAATAATCAGTTGTAAGTTTTGTGTGTAGAGCAGAGCCTAGATCCTCCACAGGGTTTTGAACACAAGAATTAAACTTCTTAAAGTTGGAGAAATAAGTAGGTGGTAAGGTGTTTATAAGGTCACATCCCAAATATTTGTTTTGAAGCAGAATTCAGTCCCAAATCAGACATGGGATAGAGACTGCAGGGAGTCAGTTTTATAGAGAATTAAATTATTGTCCATATTAGAAACCTGCACCCACCAGGCCCCACTAAGGACTGTGACCACTCAGCTTTTTCCACCGTGTACTTCCTACAATTTAGCAAACAGATCTGGTCCTGCAGAGTTTTGTGTTGCTCCCCTCTGTGCTCCAGCCCTAGGAGGGTGATTTATATTTCAAACAGGATGATTGGAGTTAAATGTAAGCTCTGCCTATAGGTTTAAAGCATGAACTGCATGACTGGACCATCACCCCTGGCTGGAGCCCCTGGATCTGCAGGAATTCCTTTGGGAACACCCCTGGTGTCCTCAGGGATGGGATGTATCAGGAGTGGTGAAAGATAAACCCAAAATCTGAGGGCACAACCTTCACATCCATGTGTATCTAAACTTGGGGAGATGAATCCAAGATGGATGAGGAAGTTGACCTAAATATCTCAAGTGTCTTCAAAGACATTCCAAGTGCATTTCTTGATTTCTCAATACCCCAAAAAACCATCTGCAGCTTATACAAATATTAAAATTAATAGGCTTTTAAATAAAAGAACAATTCCAACAAGGCTGGAAGAAGTTTACTTCACTTTCTAGCCCCACTAAAACTGCAGCACTCATCCTGGTACTTCAAAACATTCTTGAGCTCTCCTCCCAAAAGGACACATCCTAAAACATCCCAGAGTTTTGTCAATGTTGGACTGCAGAAAGAAGCTTGATAGTGTTCCAAAGCTTTTGCATTCTCTTGCTTGCAGCTACCAGAATTGTCACTTAGAGGCAATTCTACATCTCCTCATGGAACCAGGAAGCCACAAACCTTTTCATCTGCAATGCAAAACTGGAGATGCTTTGTGTGTGTGCAGCAGCAGCTGGACAGGAATGCACCGGGGGCCCCAGGGGGGCTGGGGGGGGTTTTACCTAAATTCAGCATGAAATGAGAAGTTCATGCAAGCCTACGAGCAAAAATGGTTCTCCTGGAGGTACAACAGCCCTGCCTTTAGTAGGCCTAGTGTTTTATATCCATTCACCTGGTGGCTCATGAAGACCAGACATATTGTCATAGAAACAGGCTCTCTGAATATTCTGAATCTCTAAGGCAGAGAAACAGCAGAAACACAAAGACAGAAGAGCAGATACACAAAACACTTGAGTTAGTAAAAACAACAGGTTCATCAATTGCAAACACACTTCACTGTGCTACAAAAGCAGTTAGGCCACAACATATTCCATGCACATTTCAATGGTCTGTGGGAACAGGGTTTGAGGATTTGGACCAAAACACAATTGCTCTGTGTGTGTCCTCCAAGGGAAAAGGACAGATCCCCAACCAAAAAGTTCTTTACAGATTTCTTAAAGCTGCTCTCTGTGGCTGCCCAAAGAGGGAAACTCAGCATTAACCTCCAGCACCACCTAAGTCACAAGTTTTATTTCCTCATCTAGTAACAAACCACAGGGTTTGTATCCTTTCACATGGAAATATACTCTAATCAGTAGACTGTGATGTTAAAAAGCAGAATAGGTAAGTCCCTGCTAAGTATTTATGTGGCTATTTCTGCTTTTCGGAATCATTTGGTGCAAGTACTGATAAATACTTTCAGGTGATGGGCAGGTAACCTGGCTGAGCAGCAATTAAAACAGGATTTGATTTTAATGTGCAGTATCCCAGCACTGCTACAGCTGTTACTGCAATTCATTTGAGGAGATGTGGATTTCCAGAGTACCACCCACCACTGCACAGGGAATAACTGCTGGTGCTCACAGAGACAAAGTTTACAGTTTTAACAACAGCAAGAACCACCCCAGCTGCTCACACTCAGGACTCCACTGCAGCAAGTCCCAGCCAAGAGTTTTGGACAAGATTCCATATGAAATTGGACACAAACAAGTAATTAGTGAGTATCAGTTCCAGTAATGAACATGAGAAGCAGCTACTCAGAAATGGTACATGTGCAAGGGACAGAGGTGCAACTCGGCTTCCTTGGTGTCCTTTGGGCACTAAGTAAGAGAGAAAATGCTGTAGATATTTATAACAGAGAAGTGGAGGGTGAGGAAGGAACGGGCATTAAAAAAAAAACCCAAACAACTCATCCAGCAAGGTGAAATGACCAACAATCTGTGCTCAGAGCTCCCTTACCATCCTTCCAAAGCTCAGCCACGAATTTGTCTGAGGACTGGTGCAGGAGCGTGGCCACGTTGTCGTTCAGGGGGTCCATGTTCTTCATCAGCCACTCATCTGCCTTGTAGTCCACCTGCAGGGCAGCCAAGGGCAAGGCTCAGAGCAAATCCAGCTGCAGGTTTCTATTCCCCAGCATCAAACATCAGAGGTGTTCCCCCCTCAGCGCCAGTGCCCAGAATCACAAAGGCTGGAAAAGAGCTCCAAGCTCAGATCCAGCCCTGCCTGGCCAGGCCAGCCCTGGCTGCTCACACTTGCTGAGCCTCCTTAGGACAGTTCAAAGTGCCATAAGTTTGTTATAATGGGAGTTTTCTTCAAAATTCAGCAATCTACTTCTTTCTTACTGACAGCTGGATGTTTATTTGCTGCCCAGTTTGTTGTCAAAATAAGGTTTCACTGTGAAGGAAAAGCAGCTCTAGGACAGACACCAATCACTTCATCTAAATTCCTGGAGAGTAAATTAAGGATGTGCTGCAGCATGATTTTTGAAAATTTCTCTACAATATTTACATTTAAACACTTGGTTCTACACAGAAAACAAAGTTCTTATCTTTAAAGGGCCAAAATAAATCCCAGCTCAGCAGCAAAAAATCATTGATACCAACCAGGGCTTTATCCCAACACAGGGAGCCCTAAAACTCCCTAAGTCCAACAAAATCTCTGTAGCCCAGCATGGTCCTGCTTCAACCAAGGCAAAAATCATCTAATTCTGCATCCAGGCTTTGGAAGGAAAGCAGAGTACTCTCCCCAAACCAACCTTTCCAAACAAGAATTTACTGTGGAGCCCTTACCTTCCCTGCATAGTGAATAATGCAGAAGTCTGCTTTGTCTTTTAGTTGTCTTGGCTTTTGGAACTTAGAATGAGTTCCTTGCTCTTGGACCAATTTCTCCACAAATGTCTTGTCAGTAGCTTTAGGGAACCAGCATTCTTCATCCAGCAATGCCAACACACCAGGAGGATTTGCCTGAAAAGCAGTTTGATAATGTGTTCATGTTTTTATATATTTCAGAGTTTAATATTTCCAGTGCACCTCTGAACACCACAATAAGTGTAGTCCAAAATGCTTCAAGCCTAATTCCAGCTAGGAGATTTTACCTCCCAAGGAGGCAGAACTTTCTCAGTTCCACACACAGAGTGCAGACCTTTGGTAACTGAAACAAGATTTCCCTTTTCCCACAGGAAAGCAGGAATGCAGCTCCTCTGCTGGTCAGGATGTACAGCAGCACTAGGAGCTCACCTGCACCCCAGCATGCACACAGGCAGGTAGGGAGGAGCACCTGCAGAGGCCCAGGTTTCATTTAAAAGGTTCTGAGATGGAAAGAACAAAATTTCAGGAGTCTCTGTTCTCCCCATCTGCTCCTCCTGCTCTTCAGCTCCCATAAATCCAGCAGCCAGAGGAGGATGTTAAAAACCAGAGTGACTAAAATACTTTTAATATCCTGTTTTCCTATTTGCAAGGCAATTTTCTGAGGGGAAACTCTCCTCTACTCAAAGCTTCAGGAATTTTGCTATTCTGCTTCCTTCCAATGAAGGAAGTCTACCACAAGCCTTGGAAAAACTTTCTACCTGAGTCCCAAAGCTCCTGCACCACAATGGCACAGTTTAATGACACTGACAGGATTAATGACTTCATTAGTACCAGGGAAAAAGATATAAAAATAGCAGCTTCATATCTTGAGCTCAGTGTTTTACACTGACATAAGGGCAAAATCCCCTCTGGACAAATCCTTTTATTAACAATACACAGTGTTTTAGATTTGAACTTCAGCATTCCAGTTAATTCCCTTTTAATGACAGCTCCACAAGAAACGTCTCATTTGCAGGCAGCAAAAGCCACTCAGCACTCCAAGCTCTCCTCCTCAGAGCATTATTCATGTGCAAACTTACAGGTCTTTCAATTAAGTCAATGCAAGGCTGCAGATCCAGGCCAAAATCAATGAAGTTCCACTCGATCCCCTCTCGCTGATACTCCTCTTGCTCCAGGATAAACATGGTGTGGTTGAACAACTGCTGCAGCTTCTCGTTGGTGTAGTTAATGCAGAGCTGCTCAAAGGAGTTCAGCTACGAGAATAACATCAGTGTTCAAGAATGACTCAGTGACAAGACACCACAGATCTGGGAGTCAGAAATTTGACTTTATAAGGAAATTCTCCAAAACTTTGCAAAGTTCAAATATAACGTAAGGAAAGCTGGAAAGCAATACTACAAATCTCCATAACATAAATCATACTAGGAACAACTATCACACATAAAAGAAGTATTAAAGATTAAATTATGACTTTTTGGCACTGTAATTTTGGGCTGCCGAAGCCTTTGTACACCCCAAACCAACGCCACGTGTAACCTGGCTGCCTTCAGTGCCCCTGCAGCGTGTCCTGAGCCCACAGCACAGGGCAAAGGACACCTGAGCAGGAATATCCCCACGTACCTCGAAGATTTCAAAGCCAGCAATGTCCAGGATGCCAATGAAAGAGGCTCCCTGGCGCTTGGTCCTGTCCAGGGCTTTGTTGATGCGGTGCACGAGCCAGCGGAACAGGCGCTCGTAGGTGGCCTTTGCCAAAGCTTCCACTGCAAAGTCCGCCTGCAAACCCAAACAGGAACATTTATTTCCCCTGGAAAAGCCATCAAAAGGACACCGACGTGGATGTTAACACAAATAACTCGGCAAAGGAAGAAGCTGGATGGAGTTAATACCAGCGAGGAATGAAAACAAGCAGTAGGAACAGTTTAGATTTGATCAATGTTAAGAAAAATTTCTTTCTAAACTGTTTCACAAATACAAAAGGTCTCCAAGTGTTTGATAATGTCACAACATGAAAGGATGAAACCAGGAGAAAGTCAAGGAAAGGGAGAGGTTTCTTCTATTCTACAAATGATTTTTACCATATAAGAACATTTTCATAAAGACAGTAAAGCTTTAACAGAGCAGCAAACACTCAAAGCCAATTTTCTGCATTAGGAGCTAATTGAGGATGAGGCAGCTTCCCTCAGGGTTTAAAAAGCACCTTTTAAAGCTCACCTGCTCTTTGGTCTGGGCCTTCTGCACGTAGTCCCTGCCCACCTTGATGCGGGGGGTGAGGATGGCACGGGTGAACTCCATGACGTTCATTCCCAGCAGGTGGCAGAGCTTCTGTGCGACTGCGGGGACACGGGACAGGGACAGAGGGACAGAGGGACACGGGACAGAGGGACACGGGGACAGAGGGACATGGGGACACGGGGACAGAGGGACACGGGACAGAGGGACACGGGGACACGGGGACAGAGGGACATGGGGACAGAGGGACACGGGACAGAGGGACACGGGACAGAGGGACACAGGGAGGGAGCACTCAGACCCTGCCCCGACACCTGGGAGCAGCTCCTGTGGCATCTCAAGAGCTGCACCAGTGCCCAGGACAGGGCCCAGCCCCGGGGGCAGTGTCCCAGGGCTGGCAGAGCTCTGCAGAGGGACACAGCTGGATATCCCCGGGGAGCAGGAAACGCTGGATTCACCAGGTGGCAGCTCATTAACAGTTCAGGCACAAGGGCTTATTCAGCTGCTTTAAAAGGGAACACATCCCTTTCTCATCCCCAGGAAAAACGGGCACTGTGGGGACATCACACACCAAATCCATCATCCCAAAGGTGCCTGAAAATCTGGCTCAGGGCAGGCAGCTGTGCCAGCACAAAGCAGGGATGTGCCACCTTGTCCAGGAGCTGAGGACCCCCCAGGCCTGGCAGTGCCCAGGCCAGGCTGGACCCCTTGGAGCAGCCTGGGACAGGGAGGTGTCCCTGGGATCATCTTGAACCCAAACCAGTGTGGGGCTCCAAGTGTTTTACACAGAACACCAGCACAGGCAGCAGTGCACTTCAGCAGCAGAACCCTCCTGGTGTCATCCATTATTTAAATAGTGCATTACCCACTCCTGCTGCATCATCCCTTCCCCTGAACACGAGGCCCAGGAGCTTGGGTGGCTGTGATTGCACACTTCTAAAAATGACAGTGACACCAAAGGTATTTTTAGGTGCAGGGAAGTGTTGCCCTTTAGCAGGAAGCTCTCCACACCACCCAGTAAACACTTGGCCCCTTATCTTTATCATCTGATAGTTCCTTGTACTGTCAAAATGAAAATAAAAAGCTGTTTTTCAAAACAGCATTGGAAAACAGATGTTCGTACTAATACATCAGAGTTTCTGCTGCATTATTTCTTTCTTTACTATTAAAAAAAAACTATTATTGCTGTTTAATGTTGAGATTCTCTGTCTGGCCATATGTTCACTAGAAGGGTTCATGACCTGACACACGAGCAGTGAAATCAGGGGAGTGTCACAAACTGAGCACTTCCTCACTGGAGCTACAAACAGGAGCATTTCTGGGCTCTGAGCATACAAATATTCATCAGATAAAGCCCACAACCTCAGGGGTCAAGTAGGAAGTGCTCTCAGGATCTTTAAAACAAACAAACAAATAAAACAGGAACTTGAAAATATTAAGTTGCCACGGGATACTGTAAAGGATCCTGCAGTGCAAGGAAGGAGGGTCCCAGAGTATCCCAAATACCACACTCAGCCCCTTGCACAAACCAGGGACATGGAATTGATTGTCCCAGCCTTTCCAGTCAGTAATGAACTGTGCTTCAGGTGAGAATAACACCAAAAAAGCCCAGCAGGTGTGATCCTAAGCATGGCATTGCTGAGCCACTGCAGGAGGCTGCAGCCAGCACTCCTGAAAATGAGCCCAATTCCAAGTGCAAACTGTCACATCCCAGGGCAGGGCTGGGCCACCCTACCTCAGCTGGGTTCCTCCTGCACTTTAAAATCAGCATCCTTCATCTGAGGATCACAGGATGGTTTGTGGAGGAAGGGACCCTAAATATCACCCAGTTCCACCCCCTGCACAGGCAGGGGCACCTCCTTGTTTGTTTGTGATGAGAAAGGACCATCTAAAAGGTGTGACTGAGAAAACCCTGTCTGTCCTGACCCATATTTTATTGCTGCTGGGGTTTGGAGAGAAAATTCTGAATTAATTATAAAGCCAAGATACCAAGGAGCTCCTATCAGAGGTGAACATGAACTTTATGGGATTGCTTTGAACTTCTGCCCTCTCAGCTGAAAGGGCCCTTCCCAATCTGGTGAGCATGAAATGATTCTCCAAGCACAGCTCCTCCATCCTCCTAGGCCACAAAGGCTCTGTGGCTGCTCTGCTATCTGTACCTGAAGCCAGGATTTGTTTATCTACATTTCCCATCTCTAGGGGAGAATTTGCTTGCCGTGTTCGTTGAATGGGTTCCCATCTCCAGTGCCCACACAAACTCCTTCCATGCACAGAGCCAGCACCTGCCTGTTCTGCCAGGACACACTGATTTCTCCAGAGGATGCAGGGAAACCCCTCACAATGAGATGTGACAAGAATAGAGAGATCAGTTACACTCAATTTCTTCAGAAAGATGCAATAACTTATACTAAATTCTTAAATACAAGAGGACAAAAATATGCTTTAATTGTGACCTGAGCTTTTCATCCTTTTGGCTTTAGAAGTCAGAATTTTGTATCCAGCACTATAAATATCCAAGAGTATCAATATGTTTATAGCCAGTGTTGTAATTCAGAATTGATGTCTAAAAACCAATGGTAATGCAACTAAAGTCAGGACAGCCAAGAAGCATCTCTATTTTTCCACATGGACAATGACCCACGTGGGCTTCCTAAACCAGCAGGAAACACCCCAAAAAACTGAGCCTTCACCCATCTCACTGCAACACAGAAAGGGCCAAAAGCCAGGTCAGTAAGTACTGACCTTTAACCCCCAGCTGGGTTCTGCCCCCTGAAAGGACAATTTTGAGCATTGCAAGTGACCCAGGTGCTCAGGAATTTGGGACAGCTGCAGAATGAGAGCAGACAAGACCCTGAGCTGCCCATGTGCAGCAGCTCCTGGGAATGGTGCTTCCCACTGTCCTTCATGAGAACATTTCAAAGGCTGTCACTGCATCCTTCAATAAAAACCTCAAATGTGCCTCTCAGCAGGTTTTTTTTTTCTTTTTTTTTTTTTTTTTTGGGTGGGGGAAGAGATATATCTTTCAAAATGCTGATTGCATTGCAGGCACTGATAAATTCAGTGTCAGCCCTGCTGCCAGGACACTCCAGAAATCAGGCTGCTCTCAATGCAGCATTCCTGTCTTCAGCCACTGCACCATGGAAGTTGTGCTTGGCTCCAGGGCTCTTATCATTGGCAGCAAAACTGCTCTCAGCAACCAAAGAAAACAAACTGATTTAAGCATGAACTTCTTCCTAGGGCTTAAATCTTTGGAGAGAGCAATAAACAAGATTACAACCAAAATACTTGTTCAAAGCTTAGCAGCAATGCAAACAGCATCAATTCCCCTGATGGACACTTGCATTTGTCTGCAGCAGGAGGTGGAAGGGGAGAGGTTCAGGAATTGCCTGCTGGTGCCATCAGCCCAGGCCTGGCCTCATTTGGGCCCAGAGCACTCCCAAGGATGCTCAGCACTGCTCGGAGCTTGGCTAGAAGTGCACTGGCCAAAGGGCAGGAACTCAGCACAAGGCCAAGGACAGCCCCAGACATGGGAACTCACCAGTGTTCTCTGGCATGGACGCCTGATCCGTGTTCCTCTCCTTCTTAAAGGAAATGTTTCCAAACTGCAGCACTGAGGACACCACTTTCAGCATTGCTGTGATAACAAGAGACATGTGCATGAGTTTCATGGCTCAGCTGAACAAATTCTCCTGTTTCTTGTGTCATTTTCCTTCCACATTCCAAGGAGAAGTTCAGGGACGAAATACAGTTTGTACTGTGCTTTTTGGGCAAAGGGCTTGAATTCAACTCCAGTTGGAGTTAAGCAAACATTTCCTTCAGGCTGTCAAAGACACTGAAGCAACATTAAATTTGGTGCCATTCAATTAGCTCTGTGTGTGTGTGCGTGTGTATAAAAGGGAAAAGGACACTGAAAATTCCAGAGGCTCCATAACTTACACAAGATCTCATCGTGTGAAAAGCCCATGATATGCATGGCTTCCATCGTCTCCTGGAAGTTGTCCTTGTCTTGTTGCCCAGGGATGGGGATGTAGCCATTAGATAAAAATCTGTAATTGTTAAATCCTTCGAGCAGCAGGTCAGCTGTGATGGGGGAAGAGACAGAAAAATAAGCTCAGAAATGCTGTTCACACCCACCCGTGCTCTGTTCTCACTCAATTCCCCAGCTCTGCTTTAGGAAATCAGTTCCTCAGAGATGTCTACAAGCCAGGACAGCTGTTTCTGAAACCCTAAAAATACCAGTGCACCTCCCAGGCTGAGGGCAGACTCAGACTCTCTCCCTGCAGCAACCTCCATGAGCTCCCCAATGCATTAAACAGCACACAGAACATTACCCAGGTCCAGCAGCATCTCAAATCCTCATCTGGAATATCCCAGAAGGAAATCTGTACTGAAAGGTAACAGACCCAGGCAGAAAAGCAGGTGGGGATTGATGATCCCATCAAGGATGCTGAGCACCAGCTTATCTCCTACAGGAGGAGTGCACCAGTTCCCTGGAGTCTGTATCTTTATGAGCTTCACTTATCACAACCTACCAGGAATTCCCAAGGAGGGGAAAGAAGCCCCAGACAGGGTTGAGATAAACACCCCAGCACTGCAATGGCCTGAAGAGAGCCCCAGGGTTTCATCAGGCTGGGTTAAATTTCTCTGTAGGCTGGAGGAGATGGGGCTGGTTGTTCCCAGCTGGGAACTGTGCAGCTCCAATCCAGGAATTCCCAGCCAGAGCCTGCCCAAACTGGGCCTTGGCAGTGAGGAGACACGGGCTTGGAATGCCAGAGTGGCTGCCCAGCACATCTGGTAAAACACAGCAGTGATTTCAGGGCAAAGCTACCTGGCCTCTCCTTTTAAAACTCACCATTCACGGCCAAAGAACAACTCAAACCCACCCTGCAGCCCTGAAACAACCAGTGCAGCACCCAAGAGGTTTCAAATGGCCATCCCAGCTTACACTTGAGGTGCTCTCCTGCTCCAGCCAGCAGCTGGTAGAAGATGTGGAACGTCCGCTCGTCCTTGGCCTGACGGACGGCTCGGGACTTCTCCAGCAAGTCTGGCATCACCTGCAGTCAAGGGCCACCTGCAATCCCTGCTTCCAAACACACACAGACTCCAAAGCAGGCTATGGAATCGGCCTGAGACCAAAGGGAGTTGTAGGAGCAATGCCAGAGCAGCTGGGGCTGCCCCTGGATCCCTGGCAGTGCCACGGCCAGGCTGGACAGGGCTGGAGCAGCCTGGGGCAGTGGGAGGTGTCCCTGCCATGGCAGGGCTGGCACTGAGGTCCCTTCCACCCCAAACCAGCCTGGGATTCTGTGACTGGACTGGGTCCAACATGAACTTCTAGTGACTAGGTAAGAGATGTCCAGCTCAGACTGGTAGAAACCTGCTGTTCATCTCACAAACCCTTGGCATTTCTACACTCCCATCCCTTGGCAGCTTTCCCTGTATCCCTGCAGCCACCACTACCTGCCATGGATCAGCTGCACTTTTGGTCATGGGGAGCTCCCATCCTTCTCTAGCACTTCTATTGAGGTCAGAGCTGAACTCCTAATCCCAAAAACGCAGCAGCTGCTGAACTCAGGAGTCCTTTATTATCCAAAGTGCATTTGTCACTCCTTCCAAGCATTGCATTTCTCCACAACAATCCACACTGCCTTTAAACAGCTCCCAGATTCAATTTCTGCAGCAGGTAGTGCCTGATTAGCTGCCATGAGCTGTAATCTTATTTAATTTTTGTACTTCTTGATACCCCATATTGTAAAGCAAATGTAGGACAGGGATCTGAAATGCCAGTGGCAAAGATGAGATCCTGTGATGAAGAAGAAATTCTCCAAGAGTTAAATCCTCCTGTTTTCACAAAGCTCTGGGCAAAACAACTCATCTGGACTTTTTTAAAGGCTGCCTTCATTCCTGTGCTATGGTGAATGAAAAAAAACCACTTATCATTGCAGCATATTTTGAATAACTATAGATCTTTCCCAGCCTTATTGGGAAATCACATTTTCTGACAATTCCAAACATTTAATGTTCAAATCAAGCAGTTTCAAAACACAGGAACCAAATGGAAACTTAACTACAGCATTGTTTATGATCAGTGTTCACTTAATGTTGTTTACCAAGATTCTCAACTTCATCCTTTTATGACCACTCCACTGCTATTCTCCCAGAAAACTCAAAATTACACAATACGTTTTTAGCACAGAGAAAACAACTTCAGGGAAAGGCTTTCAGTGCCAGTATTTTTACTTGGCTTTACACTCATCAATAAGAACAACTCTTAGAGCTAAAACTGAATTCACTTTGGTATTAATTATAATTAATGAAGTATAATAGAAGGCCTAGTGTTACTGACCCTCCATGGTACCCAGAAGAGCTGAGCTCTGGCCTGGATCAGGAGCATCCCTCTCCAGGCTCAGCTGCTCCTCAGGAAGGCGTTTTCAGGGGGATTCTCAGAAATGTTCCCAGAGCAAGCACATTTTACATGGTTTCCCTTTCTAACACACCCTGGGTTTGAGGCCAGTCTGAAAACCCTGCATGTTTCAGAGAGTGGAATTTGGGAGTTTAGGATTTCTGAGCAAACGGAAGCTGCTGAATCCGTGATATTTGATCAGTTGTTTTGAAACAAAGGGAGAGATGGATGCTGGCAAAGGAATGTCCAAGTGTGGCAACCTTTCACTGCATTCCAGTGAATTCTAGGGTTAAAAGCAAAACAAAGCAGGGAAGCTGCATTTAGCCAGAATGTGGCAGGAAAAAGGATACAGGTCTCAATGTTGGCCCCAACGATGTAACCAGTGACATCGAAGTTAATCCTGATGAATTTGCCCTGCAAAGAAAAGAAGAGTTTTTCATCATTACTTTTTTTTTTTTTTTAATTAAGACAATGCTGTCCACACCAAACACAATCCAAATGCATTCATGGATCAAGGATTTCCCAAGCTCAGAGGAAACCTTTCCCCTTCCAGGGGTTCAGCCATCATTGCAATGGAGCACGCAACACACTCCAAAGACTGGGGAACTCCCAGTGCAGATTTATTGGGAATCCAAACTTCTCTGAACGTGGTGCTCAGATTTCCCTGGGCAAACACTCTGGCTGAGGTGGGCAGAATGCTGACATCCCAGGTGTGCACATTCCTGCAGCATTTTCTGGTGCCTGAAGGGGCTCAGCTCCTGACTCTCGCGTGCTGCCTGGCCCAGAAGATTTCTCCTTCCTTTTCCAAAAGGCTTCCTGGCCTCTCTCCAGCTCAGCCAAGGGCTGAATTCTGTTGCCACCATCACAGCACTGAGCCCAGGGCTTTGGGAAAGCCATATCAGAGGGCAGCATTCAGTGCTGCCACAGAAACCCAGAAGTTTTTGCAGAAATTCAGGATGTTCTCTCCAATCCATGACGCCCGCTCTCCTGTCCAGTACAAACCAGAGATTTACCCCCTGGAACACCAGAGAACTGCCTTTGGTAGAAGAAAAAAGGGGGGAAAATAAAATCCATGGCCACTGGGCTTCTTTGAGTTATCAGGAGCAGGGAAGGCTGTCAAACCTGCGTGGCTGAGCACCAGCACCTCTCGCTTCGTGGGAGGACAGAGATTTTTCAAGTCAGGTTTTAAAATGGCTGTTAAAGATGATTTTTTTTCTGCATGAGATGAGACCATCTGGAATGAATTATACTTGCTCCTTTATGAAAACAGAGCTGGAGCCATCAGAGTGATTATGTTCATGATGGCAATGCAGAGCTCAAAATAACACAAACCAGATGCTAACATCTTTTAGGGAAAGAAGTATTCCCATTAAATTAGCACAGTCTCTGATGGATCCAAGACAGGTAACAAAGTAGAGCCATTGTGCAGTGAAACCTGTTGATGTTATAAATCCTGTACCCAGCTTCTATAAGCATGAGGAAACATTCTAAATAACAGGGCTGTAAAATGAAAAAAGCTGAATTTCCACAAAACTGTGCTCTCCCTTCTCAGCTGAAGGGCTGATGGATTTAGTCATACACTTTTCCAGAGTTCTTATCATGGAGTTGAGTTCATGCATTATAAATCCAAGCAACTGTTGAAATGTCAAAGACAGACAAGAAATCTTTCATTTGTTCTGTAAATTTTAGTGCTGTTCTCACAAGCAAAAAGATTTAATACCTCCTGCACACTTTTGAAGTTGTACTAAAAACATCTTCCCCCTGAAATAAGAGATGGCTTTTTTTTTTTCCTTCAAAGGAAAGGAAGTTCTAAGAAGTGGTAAAAAGCTATTTATTCACCCTGAGCTCCACCACAATTTTTAAAACAATGGAAGCCATCAGAAGTGGTTATCAGCCACCAAAACACTGAGAACAGCAGGCAGGGACCCAACAAAAACAAGGAGCAGCTACAGCAGTGCCTGACACCTGGGCTAAGTCACACAGTGGCTTTTTGACTTCCCTGCAGCAAATCAGAACATTTACATGGGGCTTTATATGCAAGTTTTTGCAGAAATTCAGGATGTTCTCCCCAATCCAATCACTGGCTGAAGTCCCTGTTATGCCCAGGAAGGCTGCAGGCATTGCCAGTTGCAGAAATTTGGGATGCTCTCCCCAATCCAATCACTGGATGAAGTCCCAGCTATGCCCAGGGAGGCTGCAGCCTCCTGGGGATGCCAATCCTCCCACCTGACAGCAAGCCAGCAGCATTTGTGCACTCTAGCCCCAGCTCAGCTCCCCAGCACAGCTATATTTGTTAGATTATGAACTGCTCAGGCATGGCTGGAGTTAGGATAAAATGAGGAGGTGTCTTCAGTGAGCCCAGAAATGCAGAAGGCATGGAAAGGGAAGCTGGATTCATGGAGGAAGGGAACAGAGAAATATTCTGCTGCCAGTGAGAGGACAGCTAGCAGGGTGATGCCTG